CCCCAGACTATAACTGGGTTTTAAATCAGTTTTATTAAAACCTAATGTATTCATTAACATTAGAGACAATTGTATATTGTTGTGTATTTGGAAGTTTGCCAGTTGTTGTTCTTGTAATTTCCTATCGAAGTGAATTTAGATATATTAATATAAGGCACAAACAGAAAATGATTCCTCAATGTCTTTCAAATCAGCCGTTAGTCACCAGGTCTACGGGATGTCATAGTGTTTAAGGATGGACGGCCTTGAACAACTGTCGTGTTGCTAGATGTACAGATGTAGGAAACCATGTCCTATTGGCGAATCACACTCATCATAATTGGCACATGCACTATTAATAATAATTATCAGTAAATATAGACGTGAATTAATATGTCACTAGTACTAATAGACCTATAAATAAATATAATTACTTTTCAAGATAAGGTTTAATCAGAACTATTGATATTGACATGTAATCGACATGAATGAAACTTTTATATTCACGCGGTGCCTTTGATCTTACAACGACGTCATTAACCATCACATTTGTACTTGGTATCTTCTAATTTATGTCATTGACAGTGCGTTCCTAGAATAACGTGATGGTCTCCATCCATAGTACATGCGACGAGTACATAGTAGTGTATGCCAATGACAGTGCACTCCCATGATAACGTGATGGTCTTCATCCATAGTACATGCGACGAGTACATCGTGGTGTATGTCATTGACAGTGCGCTTCTAGAATAACGTGATGGTCTTCATTCATAGTACATGCGACGAGTACATCGTGGTGTATGTCATTGACAGTGCGCTCCTAGAATAACGTGATGGTCTTCATCCATAGTACATGCGACGAGTACATCGTGGTGTATGCCATTCACAGCGGGCGCACCTAGTACATAGTGAAGTTTCGTTTTTCATATGACCCGCCGCCTAATCGATAATTTTTTTATAACCAGTAAAATCCCTTTTATTGAACTTGAAATACCACACAACTGACATGCAATCACCATAAATACAACAACGTACTAACAGATGTGCTAAAATTGTACATATTTTGGGGGAAATAATGTTTTAATAATGGTAAATGTTAAACATATTATATTTTCTAAAAACTGTAGTTTTGTGTTTTTCAAGTTATTCGCGTGTTCAAAGAATCAGTAAATTTCACTCACATAATAATATACATATAAATGTTTTTATTAATCATAAATGAAGACGAATAAAAATTGATAATTTATTACAGACAACATTAATTATCTACACGTTATAGGTGATATATATTAAAAATATCAAGATCCCATGCCATCTGTTTTGAAGTGTAACAATATACATCAGCAAATCATATATATATATTGTAGCATATTACAACATTATAGCGCACATTACAACAACATAGCGCACATTACAACATTATAGCGCACATTGCAACACTATAGCGCACATTACAACAACATAGCGCACATTACAACATTATAGCACACATTACAACAATATAATGCACATTACAACAATATAACGCACATCACAACAATATAACGCACATTACAACAATATAACGCACATTACAACAATATAACGCACATCACAACAATATAACGCACATTACAACAATATAACGCACATTACAACAATATAACGCACATTACAACAATATAACGCACATCACAACAATATAATGCACATTACAACAATATAACGCACATTACAACAATATAACGCACATTACAACAATATAACGCACATTACAACAATATAACGCACATCACAACAATATAATGCACATTACAACAATATAACGCACATTACAACAATATAACGCACATCACAACAATATAATGCACATTACAACAATATAACGCACATTACAACAATATAACGAACATTACAACAATATAACGAACATTACAACAATATAACGCACATTACAACAACATAGCGCACATTACAACAATATAACGCACATTACAACAATATAGGGCAAAATAACTGTAATCACAAATACACATAGCATGTACATTGTTACTTATACTATATCTGCCGTAAAACTATCATTGAATACAGGTTTAAGTTGTATTTTTCTATCGATGGAGAGTAAAAGTGACACAATACTATGACGTATTAACTCTCTTCAACTGGCTTAACATTGTAATTAATAATTTTCAATCGAGAAATGGAATCCTTGGAGGTTTCTATGGATTGTCTCCATTGTGCAGGTGTTAGTATGACGAAATGAATAACTATTTGTGAATAATAATTGGACAAGCCCACGTGCAGACTGTCATAATTTGACTTGTCATCACCTGTGGTACTGTTACTATATAAACGGCAATCATCTCTGCCCTCAATAGAGATTGTTTGGTTTGTACAGCTCACACCGTTATCAAGTCGTTAAGCATTGCATCAGCATGGGGTCCGTATCTGTCTACATACTAGCATTAGTAGTACTGGCAAGTCAACACCTTATTTCCCAGGCCACGGTAAGTAACGCTCAGCAATCTATAGGATATTAAACAATGGCAGTGAAAATGTTTGTAGTCACGATTTCTACAACTGTATCACAATCATATACATGTTTTGTGATTATAAATTACGTGTATAGTGCGTGGTAAAGTAATATACCGTGTGTTGAAATAAAGCCGACTTTTAGAGACGAGCGCATTCGCAATGAGGATGATATATGTCGAATATTTTCAAATGTAATTATACAAAATTGTACCTTGAATTGAATTATTGGTACGTACTAGAAACTAAAAACGCATTTACGGATTTGTCATTATTTTAATTCTGAATCATTGAAAGTTTTATGTTCTTGTAAACCATGTGTGATTTGAAGTTTTTCATAATCTCTTGGTGATTGCGTTACCTATTCCCTTAGTTATTGTCCATTGATCAAATTAGATATTTTGTATCTGTGATCAAAATGGATATTTTGTACTTTTTTTGTACAGTCCGATTTAATGTTGTTGTGACCTCCACTAATGAGGAAAATTCTAAATAATATAAGTCTCTATAACTAACAAGTCTCTAGCAGTTTTCGCACGTGCTTCGAATTCCCATTCGCTAATATAAGGCGTTTCAGAAAGCAGATAACATTTCTGGAATTAAAGAAATCACACTTTTAATGACAAAGTCAGTAATTTATTTTAAAGTTCTAAAATAAATACTTTGAATTGTTACTGAAATCGAAAATTATTCGAAAATAAATATAATTTTCAGAAATTTGAATTCATTCAATGAGAAATAAAGGTTTGAATAAGTATTTCAACGAACATGGCTTTCATCTTTAAAAGTCCCATCGAGCGAAGAATCGACAAATTCATGTATATCATACTATAATTGAACTCACAGCAGATAGGTAGGACATATTTAATTATCTTATCATTTAAACAATGCGTGTCAGCATGTTGTAATAATAGACGATCCATCGACATACACTAGTTGGAATATCAATAAAATGTTAATTTCTTTCTTACAATTCAGGTAATTACTTTCTTTTGTTAGCGTTGTCGTATATTCACCGGGTGATCGAGGGTAATTAGAACCACATAACAACTTTTGATTATTTGTGTTCTTATTTCAAGGCAGCTGGGTTATTATTTGCATACTTGCATACATCTTGTGATTGTGACAAAATGGTTATAAAAATCCTATTCAAAGTATCATTTTAAAAAAATTCAAGACTTCAATCTAATTATAGATGTGAATTTGAAGGCAGTATTTAAATGTCACGTAATACACCTAACAATGCAATGAAGAGAGTAAGTAAGTAAGTAAGTAAGTAAGTAAGTAAGTAAGTAAGTAAGTAAGTAAGTAAGTAAGTAAGTAACTAATTCTTTATTGCTATCGTATCCCATTTGAGATCTTGACATAAAATACAATAAAGTCAAAAACATGTAATAATAAAAAAAATGAAAATAAAAGGAAATACTAAAATATATATATTTTCGTGTTTACTTAAAGTTCAGTGATTTGATGAA